CTTCTTCTTTCTCCTAAAGTGTTTTGGGCATCCGCACCCGTGATCTTGGGCTCTCCTCCCTGCCTCTGTACAGGGCTACTTCTGCAACCTTAAAGCAGACTCCGGGAATGTCCCCAACAGCACGACGCTGTCCGTCAGACCCTGGCCCAGAGCGCCCCTGTTTCCTCCGGGAGGTCCCAGCTGGGGCCGCTGTGGTGGTGCAGTGGGTCAAGCTGCTGCTGGGGACGCCAGCATCCCGGCTCCTCCACGTCCCACCCAGCTCCCTGCTCGTGCGTCCTGGGATGCAGCAAATCATGGCCAAGTGCTTGGGTCCCTGCCACCCACGTGGGAGACCAGGCTGGAGTTCTGGGCACCTGGCTGCGGCCTGGCCCAGCCCTGGGGAAGTGAACCAACAGGTGGAAGATTCTCTCTCTCTCTCTCTCTCTCTCTCTCTCTCTTGCTCTGCTTTTCAAGTAAATGCAAGATAAACAAATAAAAATTAATTTTAAAAAGTTTAAGCCATGATTATGGGTACAGAGGCTGTGATTTGCCATTCGGGATCAGCTGGACCCTAAGACACAGCCTGGCAGCAGAATTTGGCTGTTTGGTTTCCTCCTCTACTTTTTTTTTTTTTTTAAGATTTATTTTATTTATTTGAAAGAGTTTCAGAGAGAGGTAGAGACAGAGAGAGAGAGAGGTCTTCCATCCGCTGGTTCACTCCCCAGCTGGCCGCAACAGCTGGAGCTGAGCTGATCCAAAGCCAGGAGCTTCCTTCTGGTCTCCCACGTGGGTGCAGGGGCCCAGGGACTTGGGCCATCTTCTGCTGCTTTCCCAGGCCATAGCAGAGAGCGGGTTCAGAAATGGAGCAGCCGGGACTTGAATCAGTGTCCATATAGGATACTGGCACTGCAGATGGCGGCTTTCTTTACCTGCTATACCACAGTGCCAGCCCCAGATTCACTATATTTTAAAAAATGGACTTTCTTTCTTTCTCTCTCTCTCTCTCTCTCTCTCTTTCTTTCTTTCTTTCTTTCTTTCTTTCTTCCAATGGCCACCGCGGCCAGCGCACTGCAGCCGGCGCACCGTGCTCATCCGAAGGCAGGAGCCAGGTGCTTCTCCTGGTCTCCCATGGGGTGTAGGGCCCAAGCACTTGGGCCATCCTCCACTGCACTCCGGGCCACAGCAGAGAACTGGCCTGGAAGAGGGGCAACCGGGACAGAATCCGGCGCCCCGACCGGGACTAGAACCCGGTGTGCCGGCGCCGCAAGGCGGAGGATTAGCCTAGTGGTGCAGGCTTAAAAAAATGGATTTTCTTACATATTTTCCAGTTCACCTGTCCTGCTCCAAATCTTATCTTTCTAAAATATTTTACTTATTTATAGGAAAGGCAGAGAGACGTGTGTGTGTGTGTGTGTGTGTGTGAGAGAGAGAGAGAGAGAGAGGGTTCCCATCTGCCAGTTCACTACCCAAATGCCCTAACTGCTGGGACTGGGCCAAACCCAGGAGCCAGAGCGTACCCTGGGTCTCCCTCATGGGTGGCAGGAACTCAACTACGTGAGCTATGACCCCCGCCTCCTGGGTTGCACATTAGCAGGAAGCTGGAGCGGCCACAGAACCCAGACACTCTGCTGTGGGGCAGGGGTGTGCTAGCCACTAGGCAAAAGGCCCGGCCCAAGTCCTCTCTCCAACACTTGTGCAGCTGGGGCGGCGCCTATGTCCTGACCCTGAATGACAAAGTCTCCACGGCCCTGTGTGCTCAGCCGTGGGACCCCTGCCCGGCTGCTGTCCTCCACGCACGCGCAGTTGGGCAGCCAGCAGCCCCCAGGGAGCCCCGCCCTCGGTCCTGCACTCTGCTCTTCCCACAGAAGGCCCTGGAATGAGCGCCGGCTTTCCCGTGGGAGGCAGGATTACCCTTTAGCCTAAGTGAATCAGGCAGCGCTGACGCCGGCGTGTGAGCAGATCCACGCTGCAGCTGCCCAGTCCAAGCTGCGAGAAAGCCCCGGAGCGCACCCTGAAACCTGCCTGGCGGGGCGCTGAGAACCCTTCGGGAGCATGGGGCTGCGGCCTCTCTCCTCGGGACAAGCCCCCTTCCCCTCACCTGCCCCTCTGGCTTTTCGATCCAAATCCTCTTCCCTTCTGGGTTTTGTTTCCTTCTTAATGTACCTATCATGGGGCCAGCGCTGTGGTGCAGTGGGCTAATGCCCGGCCTGCAGCACCCGCATCCCATATGGGCACCGGTTCTAGTCCCGGCTGCTCCTCTTCTGATCTGGCTCTCTGCTGTGGCCTGGGAAAGCAGTAGAGGATGGCCCAAGTCCTTGGGCCCCTGCACCCTTGTGGGAGACCCGGAAGAGGCTCCTGGCTCCTGGCTTCAGATCAGCTTAGCTCTGGCTGTTGCGGTCATTTGGGGAGTGGACCATCGGAATGGAAGACCTCACTCTCTCTGCCTCTCCTCTTTCTCTGTAACTCTTTCAAATAAATAAAATAATTCTTTAAAAAATATACTCATCATTTTCTATTTTCATCTCATCCAGAGGCACTCTGGTGCGGGATGCAGGCCCCGGCCTAACCGCTGCATCCAACGCCCGCCCCATCCTAGGTTTCTGGCTCCTTAGGGCACCGCTGTGGCGGTGCCTCTGTATCTTGAGTTCCCTCATCACTGTGGGGAGCAACCCGGACTGGACTGAGTTACTGGAATTAAGACTTATTCTATCCATCTGCTCTCCCACAATATGGCGCTGGGAGAGGAGAAAACAGCTTCTACGCAGCTGCCTCTTGCCAACTTGAGTGATGACCTCCAGGAGCTGATCCTGCTCCTGATTGGAGGAGAGCAGCGTACTCGGCGTGTGGGCAGCCGAGTTGGGATTGGTGGAAGAGGACTATAAAGGAGGAGAGAGACGGCATGCACCAGGAACATCTAAGGGGAACATCTATCTGAAGGAACACCTGTGCAGCCCCCGAGAGAGCCGGCCGGCGGTGTGCTGCTCCCCTGCGGAAGTGGGGAAGGTGGCAGGGGGAACCGCCCTTCCACGGAGGTGGAAGGGACAGTAGCCAACCCGGGAAGAACCAGCAGCAAACCCGGGGAGGGCCGAGCAGACAAAAGAACAGCGCAGGGTCCTGTGTCGTTCCTCTGCGAAGAGGGGGAGCGACATAATGGTGCCGTGACTCGGATATGAAGCCTAGGCAGGGTTCTGTGTCGTTCCTCCATGAAGAGGGGGAGCGACAATCACAGCGGAGCGGCTCTGAGTCTGGAAGCCTCCACAATGCCCCGCCCTGATCCTGCTGCTGCCTACCCCGCTGCGACCCCCTAATCCTTGGCTCCCCTCCGGTTCCCACCTTGTACCTAAGTTTAGCCCTGCGGACCCATTCTGTGCATTCCCACACACCCAGGAATGGTGGTTTTGCCTGAGATGAATTGCGAGCGGGAAGGGGGCCTGCGGGAATGCTCCCTTACCCCCACCCCGTGGGGAGGGGGCGGGGAACGTCACTGGGTTTGGCCATGCCAAGGCAACCACAGTTGGAACTTGAAGCTCAATACATCTCCAGCAGGCCCGTTTTTAAGCCGGTAATTTTGTATGGACTGGGAATGACATATGACCACCCATAGGAAGAAAGGTTCCCCACCCCTGCTGTGGGGGCGCAGCCGCCTGCTCAAGGGGTTCAGTCCTGGAACCTCCCGTCTCTGAGAAGGGCCAGCGAGAGGCACAGGTGTGCCTACGCTGCATGCCCAGGCATTCGGAACGAATCCCCCGCACGGTGTGGACAGCTGGGCAGCTCTCCCTTCCCAAACACCCAAGATCAGGATTCCAAGCATCGTGCCCTGGGCCACTGCTCCCAGGACTGAGACGGGAGACGAGGCCAACGCGGGCTCTGGCCCCCGCATCTCACCTGTCAACAGGAGCAGCTACCCCAGAGCAGCCAGGGGCCCACTGAGCCCAGGGCGCCGCCAGCCATGGATCTCGCTCAGACGGAGCCCGTGGGGACGCCCGGAACACCAGGCAGAGATGCCGGGGCGGAGTGTCCACCAGTGACGGAGGAGGCGCGGAAGCCCGGAGGTGAAAGCCAACGTGTGGGAGTGCCGAGGGAGTCCCGGGCAGCCACGGTGGCGGCCAGCTGGGTCGTCCCCGCTCCTAAGGGACACTGGGAAAGCTCGGGGACACCCCTCTGGGGCAGAAGCTACCAGTGGGTCCCACTGGGCTCCTCTCTCCAGGTTTTGTAGCTTCTGGAATTCTCTCTGGCTGGAAAATGTAATCAAGTGCTTTAAGTTTTGAAAAGGAATTAGGTTCTTTTCTTTCTTTCTTTCTTTCAATTCATGGCAGAATGACTAAATCCTGCCCCAAATTAAGGGCTCATTTAACTCAAATTACAAATTCAAACATTGTTTCTTTGAGGTTCACTCAAACCACAGGTTTTTTTTTTTTTTTTTACATTTATTTATTTATTTGAAAGTCAGAGCTACTGAGAGACAGAGGAAGAGAGAGAGAGAGAGAATCTTCCATCCACTGGTTCACTCCCCAGATGGCCGCAAAGGCTGGAGCTGGGCCAATCCAAAGCCAGCGTCCAAGAGCCAGGAGCTTCTTCCAGGTCTCCCACGT